GGAGTTTTTTCAGCAACTAACACTCGAATGCACCATTCGCGGAGTTTAGGTTCAAGGCTGGCAATTGGTATGCATTTTTCCTCAGCTAGTTTGTGAAGAGTGAAAATGCATATTATAATTGTGCAGTACATTAGTGGGATCTGTAGAAAATAAAAATATAAATTACACATGTGCATTACAGTAGCGAATGAAAAACAGCAAGAGCACATACTATTCAATAGGAAGAAGTATTGTTGCAGTAATGTCTATACAGATATATATATATATATATATATATATATTTCGGCCTGCATTTGTTGCTGTTAAAATTTCACGGTATACAACGTTCTTAGTATAATCAGTGCTTGATAAAAGTGGTGTTGTGGGTCTTATTAATACTTTAACTTGTGGCACAGTTTTGGCCCTTGATAATGCAACGTACAGTTGGTCGTGAGAAAACACTGGTTCTTTCAAGTATACACCTACAAAGTCCAGTGTTTGGCCTTGTGCTTTATTAATTGTCATCGCAAAACATAAACGTACAGGAAATTGTTTTCTTTTAAATAGGATAGAAGAGAAGTTGTCTAATGGAGCATTTATTGTGATTCGAGGAATGAAAACTATTTTTCCAGTATATGTACCAACCGAGATTTTAGCACATATAATATTAGTGGTAAAATCAGTGCAAAGAAGACGTGTGCCATTACATAACCCTTCAGTTGGGTTGATGTTTCTAAGTAATATGATAGAGGCATTTTTTAAAAAAAGTAATTTGTGTGGTGGTAATCCTTGAGGTGTCAAAGAATGGAAAAGTTCTTCTTGATTAGGGATTGAACAAGCACTTGTGCTTTCGTCACAACTAAGGTAAGTTGCTTCATCACCAGAGAATCTTTTAATTATACTACTATTAATTTCATGAGCAAATTCGTTCCTGGTCGTGAGTATACTTCGATTTACAAAGTGAGTAATGTAAAGTTGGGATTATCAATACCCGGAAATACTGTGTGAATTAGTATGTGTAATGAGCTGGTTTCATTAGTGAAAGGAATATTCACCTCTGGTGTAATCTAATTTCACCTTTATCATTTGTCTGTTCAGTAGCATTTCCTACTCTTAGTAAATAAGATGAAAAATAAGGATCAAAACGTGCTCTCATATTTTCCTGTAATCTAAGCTTTTCAAAATGATTCCATAAAGATGACATCACAATTGAAGCGTTGATGACATTGTTTTCTGTTCGTTTTATGATAACGGATAGTGTTTGACGAAAGTCGCCACCAAATATTACGATTTTACCACCAAAAATTAGAGTTAAGTTCATAATATCTCTAAGCATAAGGTCAAATTTTTCAATCAGGGCACGATTTGCCATTGTAGCTTCATCCCATATAATTAGTTTTGCTATTCGTAGTAAGTAAGCTAGAGTACTCTGTTTTCGAACGTTACATGATGTGGAATTATGTTCATCTACTGGAATTTTGAACCTTGAATGTGAGGTGCGACCTCCAGGGAGTAAGGATGCTACTACACCAGATGTAGCAGAGACAAGTGCAATTTGTTTTTCAGACCTTATAGTAGCAAGAAGTGCCCGGTATAAAAATATTTTTCCAGTACCATCGGGACCATCAAGGAAGAACACTTTTGGGATATTTTTTTTTACACAGTACATGATACGGTTGTATGCAAGTTGTTGTTCTTTATTTAACTGTTTAATAGCTAAGAGATCTTCAAGTGGTATAATAATGTTTTGTTCGGTTTGAAGCTCTCTTATGAAACTGTTTTCAAGATTTATGCCAAACTCTTTGCTTGGAGAAAAGTAATCTTCAAGGTTTCTTCCCAGTGAGTAAAGATGATAAGCTATAGTGTCTAATATTTTGTAACGAATAATATCAGCAGTGAGATTTTTATCTTGCCTAAAGTCTTCTCGTAAGAAGTCTTCATAATTTAGTAATAGTTTTTCTAGACTACAAGGATTACAGTAATATAGAAGGGTAGCAAACAATTGTCTCAAAGCAAATGGCATTAGATAAGTGGTACCTTCTTGGAGGCAAAAGTCAGCAGTACTATCACGTTGCGTTAAACCTAAAGCTTGTGCAGCATCTTTGTATGTATCAAATGTTGTGCCTTTAATGTTCTCAATTGTTTGAAAGATGTTGGTGCTCTGATGTGCATTAATAGTAACCTTAAATAAAATCTTTCTCCTTGAGATGGGTGACAGATAAGGATACGTCCAATTACTTCTTGTTTTTTTACGTGGTGACCATTCCCTAGAGGTACTGTACCAAGTGAAATATTCTGGAAATTCAACGTATAAGCAGTTTTTTTCTTGTGCATATTCGTTGGTTTCATTCATGTAGAAAAATTCTGTGAGCATGGTTTTCTTTAGCAGGGGATTTCTAATGATACTACTTAATTTTTGATCTCCAGGAAAAGTAATAAGTTGTTCATTTTCTAAATGAATAGATAAAGGTATAACAGCAGGGTGTAAAGTAATAAGTTGTGCATATTCGAAGCGGTCCAACGCCAAGTGGCCACGTTAGCTTTTTTAACCGGGAACCCCCCTTTAACCGTGCAAGAAAAAGGGGATTCCCGCTTATAGATATAATATATACGTATTAGTATTATTTGTTCTTGATACTATATACAAATTCATATTTTAGACATAACGCAAAATAGGAAAAGTCATCTAAAAATGAGGGGTACCTTTTTCAAGAATTACTTATATGGTATCAATTCCTGTTATAATATGCCTTCAATCGATAACAAAATGAGTTGTACTAACCAAACAATTTATTCTACATACAGAGGGCAAGAAAATTGGATAAATTTTTCAATAATTTAATTAGTGATACCGGTTGTATTTGGTATTTGATGATTGTTATTTTGTAAGACTATTTTAGATTTTGTGTGCATTATTTTTATAAATTTTAACCATTTTCTTAGCACACATGATTTCTTTTTCTTTTTTTTTTTGCACACGGGACTTAATTATAATTACTTGAAAATCGATTGTTTGTCAACTATGTATATATATATATGTAAAAAGGGAGTTTCTCCCTTCTTATATGTATGTTTTTTTTTGTATTAGTTTTATGTCGCATGTGTAAACTAAATGAAAATTCTATTAGTGAATGAAATGGGTGGCTTAATTTGCATTTAAGTTCAATTTTATTACCTTTAGTTGATCCCCTCAATAATAACCGAAAGATAGAAGATCAATTAGCCTCTTTAATTATATTGCTCATTCGTCTTTTTCCAAGTTGTTTAATAGGTTCTAATATGCAGCAAATTTCTCTAAAATATAAACAAACCTATGCATTATGATATTCACCTCTTTGTTGTCGTCTACTCTGTTTTGCTCTTCTCTTTAAGATTGGTGTAGCACAAGATTCGTTTTCAATTGATCACAAGAAGACCACATGAATATAAGAGTTTTTTTAATCCTTTGATTTTAAAGTGTATATGCTTTTATTGATCGTTTGCTTCCTCTTTTGCTGATATAAGTTGTGGAGAAAAATAGTATTTGGACAGAGATATTGATGTTGCATCTAAACAAGGAGCAATTTTTATGGTAAAACCAAAAGGTACATTAGAAACTAAGTTTACAAATTCAATTTCTCTACGATTTGCTTTGTTCTTCCTTCTTCTAGTTCTTCTACTTCTCTTTCTCTCTCTCTCTCTCTCTCCCTCTCTCTCTCTCTCTCTCTCTCTCTCTTGGTAAGTGATGAATATATACAATTGAATTGAATTGGGAGTTTTACATGACATGAGAAGTATTTGAAGATCTTTGAAGAGAGTAAAGAACATTGACATATAGAGTTGAGGAAGTGGACTCATGTGACTTTACATGTGACTTTGTATTTTATTGAATTCATTTAGAGTTTAAAAAAAAACGTGGAATTCAACGAAATTTCATTTGCAAATTATTAATTTGGTTGAAAATATATATGCAACGTAAAATTCTAGATTGTAATATTTTTTTTCTCTGATTTGTTCTAAGGTTCTAAACCATTTCTACGTACCAATTATCTATGTTACTTAACTAGGGAATAAGTATTTACCATATGATTTGTTATTCTCCTCTATTTTCTGAATTCTAGAACTAACTTGCATTATATTGATGATGTTTTGGAAGATTATTCAAGAAATTTTATAATAATATAATGTAAGAATTTTTAGCCTCCTCAATAAATAAATATATATGGTTTATATACAAAGCAATCAAATGTCTTTCTTTTTCTCAATTATTTTTTTCTCTTTTTAGTGAAATTGATTACACACATTAATAAAACTATACAACAATTTTGATGTTATTTAACTTATCATTTCTTATTTTTATAGTTATCATTTTATTACTGCATTTCTATTATGATTGAGGACACACGCGCGTATGACTTAACTACTTAACTAGTCTAAACTAAAGGTGTTATGTGTAATTTATTCACATTCTTAGAATGTATAGGCATGAGATCATATTTCACCCTTTTAGAAGATTTCATTTTTCCTATTTCTGAAAATAAAAATTAGTGTGGCTTTTATATGTGCTGGTTCTTTATTCACCAAATAATTTAGCTCACATCTTGCATTGTTACTGTGATATAATAATATACTCCCTCCGTCTCATAATTATTGTCCATTTTGCCCAAAAAATTTTGTCCCAAAATTATTGTCCAATTTGACTTTTTATGGATCAAGTTACACATTTGTCCTTAGTAAAAAACATTATCCATAAAATCTTAGTGGTTAAACAATTACTTATGTAGGGGTATATCCGGTTGTTTAAGGTAAAATATAGTTAAGTTAGACCAAAAATAAAATCTTTCATTTTAGTAAAACTGGACAATAATTATGGGACGGAGGGAGTATATAATTTGTTAAAATTAGTAATTTTAATGATAGTTTGCCCTTTATGGCTTTATCCTCAAAAAAAAAAAAAAATCAGCCCCTCTTGACTTTGTAAACAGTGTTTTCCCCAAAAGAATTTAAAATCTTCAATGAATAAATGTTTATTTTGAGTACATAATTTTTCATAGATTGCAATGGAAAATAAGAAAATTAGTACAAAATGTAAAATCTATCATTTATATTAATAATCGTTCATTCAATATAATAGGAAACGACGGGGGTTTATGAAGTGTGACTGTGACTTTTGTGACATAAAGCCAGGACTGGAAAGGGTTTTTGCGTTTTATTCGAACACTTGCCGTAATCACTCCTGATTCCGGTACAATGGTGGCCAAGAAGGGCGGAGCAACCAGAGGCGGCGGCGGAGCAGCTACGATGTCGGAAGATTCCGTGGAGGAGCTCACCCGCGTTCCTTTACAAGCGATTCTGCTCGCTGACAGCTTCGCTACTAAATTCCGTCCCATCACTTTAGAACGTCCCAAGGTAAAGCTTAACTTGTACGTGAAACTAATAATTGCTTGAAACTCTGTAAATGAACTTAATGATTTTGAAGAAATTATTGATTCGGTGTTATGGATTTTCTTTTTTCTTTGTTTTTTTTTGGAGGTGTTGCTGCCCTTGGTGAACGTTCCAATGATAGATTACACGTTATCTTGGCTTGAAAGTGCCGGTGTTGAAGAGGTGTTTGTATTCTGCTGTGCTCATGCTAAACAAGTAATTGAGCATTTGGATAGTTCACAGTGGTTCAAGCAACCGAACTTCACGGTGACTACAATAGAATCCAACAATTCAGCTGGTGCAGGAGATGCACTTCGTTTGATATATGAGCAAAATGTGGTATGTTAAAATCTCTCAACTTCTGATTGCTCCTTCCGCAGCTGTTCAAATCTCATCATCTTGAGTATGGAAAATTAGGGCAATATGATGATGCATCATCTGTTATATATACGGGACCATATTATCCATCAGTCACCACAGTATGAATGCATGGTTCCCTGATATTCCCATTTCGTGATGTTCTTGTCATCTGTGGCACCTCTTCTTTGGCACTGTAGATGTTGAAGTATGTGATAATCAATATTCATGCCCGTTGATGGATCTATAAATAGGAGATAGAGAGTCGTGAACTTTTGATCTCTGTCATTTTTGTTTGTTCCGTCTCTGCTACTGTTTATCCGTTACAACAACAAGAAGCTTTTAATTGTGTCCACTAATATTGTTCTGTTGTCTTTGAAGATACGCGGAGACTTTGTTCTTGTTAGTGGAGATACCATAAGCAACATGCCGCTTTCTGAGGCTTTAAAAGAACATAGGGAGAGAAGAAAAAAGGACAACAATGCCATCATGACCATGGTAGTGAGACAGTCAAAACCTTCTCCGGTGACACGCCAATCTCGTCTTGGAACTGACGAGTTGTTCATGGCAATTGATCCCGAAACAAAACAGCTCCTGTATTATGAGGAAAGGGCAGACAATGGGACTGTTTCAATCGATAAAACAGTGATTTCTGATCACCCATCCATGTATATCCATAACGATAAGCAGGTTTCTCCTTTACATTGTTCTTTCACTTGTAATGGATGGTCTTGTGCAAATTAATCTCTCTGTTCACTCTCATTGGAAGTGACAGGAAAATCTGTTGTTTATCTTGATTAACTTTATTCTCATACCATTTCCATTCCTTAAGTAACAAACGTGCAACAGTAATGCAGTATCTCAAAAAACTTTTTATACGTCTTGCATTTCCTTCCTGAAAATTATAAGTATGCATTGAGGCCATTGCTTTACTAGCTTATTTACTGATGTCAAAAGCAGATCCTGCATACTCCAGTTCCCTTTTCTTTCTTTTTTTTTTTTGTGTGTTTCTTTCCCTTTTCTTTTTGCTCCCGCTATTAGAAAAAGTGTTCTAAGAAGTCCTTGTTACTCTGAATTTACATGGCAGTAAGTTTGGGTCTCTTGCTAATACTACTTAAGTATTCTTGTAAATTGTTTATCTTTGATTTAGGAAAAAAAACTTGATTCTTTTGGACTAAATAGTTTCTTTAAGTTGTGGTCAAACGTGTTAAAAAGTTTTTGACAAACTGCCATGAAGGTTCATTGTACTGCTCATCAAACATAGATTTACTGATCATTACTTAATCCAGTATATGTCCTGCTTAGGTAAGTCATATTTAAGGTCTGATTCAGTAGGGAATTGGTCAGTGCTTCAGGGAGTGTGAACAGTTGCTGGTTTATTTCATATCTGCTCTGTTTTGTTTTGTTTGTTGAGATTTGGTGAAGGTTTTCCAGGGCTAGCATTCTCTTAAAGTGATGTGGCTTGTTAACATCAAATTGTTTTAGTTTGGTGCCAGAAGTTTTGATGCTGAGAATATCTTGCCCCTTCACTTCTTTGTTCATTCTGATGTTTTGTTTGGGAGTACAACATCATCAGGGAACTCTCTAACTGATGCTTATTATTGCAGGATTGTTACATTGACATTTGTGCGCCAGAAGTCCTCAGTACTTTCGCTGATAATTTCGATTATCAGCATCTGAGGCGTCACTTTTTGAAGGGTTTGCTTGACGATGACGTATGTCTTACATCCCTTTTTGATCCAGCATTTAAATCTGACTCACTGTCTCACACATGCACACTCTCTTCATGTCCGTTCATGTGTTGTGTCTTTGTTATTGTTAACACACACACATACTCATAGGCCTCACAGTTTTCCAATTTTGCCATTCCAATCTGGATATGTGTTACAGGCTTTATAAATGCTCTATGGAGCTTATTTTTCTCCTTCTCTGCATGCGTTAAACTTTAACCTGTTATTGCATATAGTGGGAAAGCCAGAATCCACCCTTGAACTGAGTGCTCTCCTAAACCAGCTTGGATGTGGTTTCCTTATGTTTAACTAAGCTATAAATTACTGCTGTTTTTTGACCGTTCTGGGTGCTTAGCTTTCGACAAATTCCTTAAAGCCTTAAAAGTATGAAGGCATATATTTTATAATAATGTGTCGGATACATGCCTGTTTTGCTTTCTTAATGCAAGAAGCTGTCTTTGGATTTGAATACATTTCTGCATTAACACTATCATATTCTTACTGATTCGTGCAATAAATTTCCCTGAGCTTATAGCCCTTTTGCTCTTCACTTATGATCCTCTAGCTAATCCTTCTCATTCTTTCTTTTTTCTCAGATTATGGGTTACAAGATTTTCACCCATGAAATTCACGCAAGTTATGCAGCCCGAATTGACAATTTCCGAAGTTATGACACTGTTAGCAAAGACATCATTCAAAGATGGACATACCCTTTGGTTCCCGATGTTCAACTTTTTGGAAATACTGCAACTAAACTTGAGAGGCGGGGAATGTATCGAGGTTCAGGTGGGGGCTGTCTCTAGCAGATTTCCTATTAGAATAAATTATGTCTTCCATATTTCATGAAACAGCCTGCTTTCATTTTTTCTGCTAATCACTAGAAATAATAACTGGACCGATACTCTTTGAGTCTTTGTAAAGTTTGGATGGGCTTCTCTATACCTTTTTTCTGCTACTCACTTGAAATTAATAACTGGACCGATACGCATTGAGTCTTTGTAAAGTTTAAATGGGCTTCTCTATACCTTAGTTTGCCTTTCTTATGGCCCCGATAAGAAAAATTTTTAATGCTTTGTTGTGTTTGGAATTCTTGGTTAGTTAATGACTGGTGGTGATCCTCTATTGTCTCTTGCTGTTTTTTCTTCTTGGTCCCGATTTGTGGTATTGGAGCCTTAAAATTTAGGATGGCGTCTCAGGGAGTAGCCATTTGTTGGATGGAAAACTTTTAAAATTCATTCCTGTTATGCAGCTTGTTGGAGAATTAAATTGAACTACCTGTATGTAAAATACAAAATAAACTCGCTATCTAGGTCGGTTTGATGTGTGGATCTGATCATACTCCTTTCAGGCAATTGGTTTTTTTCCATCTTTTCAAATGGGATAGAATGAAGGAAAGAGGTCATCAACTCAGACCTCCTTCCAACAAAAAAGTCATGGCCAAAGTCATATCTTAGAGTAATTTGATGATTGTTATGTGCTAATTAGGTTCATTTGCTCGATCTGCGGATAACCATTTGTGCTCACAGATTAGAAACTCTAACGTTGTCTTAACGTGATTTCTTTTTAGGGGTTGGGCTCTCAAGATCTGCTCAAATTGGTCCTTTTACGGTTGTTGGAAGTGGCACTACTGTTGGAACCCATTCTGAAATTTCCAATTCAGTTGTTGGAAAAAGCTGTAAAATTGGTGAAAATGTGTCAATAGATGGTAGCTACATATGGCACGATGTGACAATTGAAGATGGTTGTGTTATTAAAAATGCATTAGTGTGTGATGGTGTGATAATCAAGTCTGGAGTGATTCTTGAACCTGGTGTTGTTTTGTCATACAAGGTATCACATTTTACTTGTGCTCATTTTGGTTCTAACAATGATATTTTCAGTTAAAGCCAAAACAATGATATTTTCCTTGGGGTCTCGTTCAAATTTGTGATCTTTGCCAGACCTTAAAGATTACCAATAGTTCCCATTTATTTTTTGCTGGCACTGAAATGGCAGCTCCTGCTCCCAATTCGATTTTGCCGCTTATCTTTAAAACATGAAAATGGGAACAGTCCCCTGGAAATTGTTGAGGAACACTATATCTTAGTTATCAGAGTTTACATTTGTGTCAATAATGGGTATATGTCGAGTTAATGCATTTAGTAATGCATTATATAAAGCTGGGAAACTTTGGTCAGACAAGTCTATCATACTGGTGATGATGCTGAACGATCTCAGTTATCATTTTCACGAGTTGTTAGGAATGAATAGCTTATCAGAACTCTCTGTTTATACAGTATTGCTGAATTATGAGTTTTCCATATACATCTGCTATTTCCTATGGTAGCTGATCAAAATCTTATCATTGGAGCAGTCGAATTTCTCTAATCATTTTGGAAATCTTTATGGTGTTAGAACCTGCAATTATTTGGAACTTTTTGGTTCAATGTTGAGCAAAGTATTCCTAGGTCATGACTTTTTTAAAAACCAGACACCACTTGTACCCACGCTAAGCTTGTTGAACTCCCTAAATTTGATCCATCTTGTTAGCCAATTACGTTCATGTTACACATATCCTTATTCCTTGTAACTTCCAGTAATGATTACGTTTCGGGTTTTATCCTGGCTTGTGACTTCTCTCATTTTGTTTCACATTTTGATGTTTTTCAGGTTGTAGTTGGACAAAATTTTGTTGTTCCAGCATATTCAAAGGTATCCTTATACCAGCAACCCATTAAACAAGATAGTGATGAGGAGCTGGAATATGCTGATAATAGCAGCGGGACTATGGATATTTCATGTAACTTTTATCTGGTTTGCATTTACAGTTTATTTATTTGTGTTCTAAAGTGTAACTTCCCTTAGCATATATGTATTTTTTTTGTTCTTTGATCCTGTGTATGATTAATAATTATCCCTCGTGAATTTTTAAACTACATGGAGGATTTCTATCAGAGATATCTGAACTTTCAGCCATAACTTCCCCAAAAGTTGAAAAGGAAAATCCTCACAAAACTGCTTGTATTGTGGCTGGCTATGTCATTAGAATAAAATTTTCTTCTGTGTCATAGAAGGGGAAAATAATTTAGATCAAGCGAAGAAAATTTTGAAAATTTGATTTTGCAGAAAGAAAAGTACTGATACCATGCTGTTACTCCAGAAATTGAGTGGTTTCCATAAGACAGTCATACTTTGGTATTTAACAGTCTTGTAGAAGTTATCTTATTTTGTCTTTTTTGTAAGATTTTTATGAGCGTGATTTTTAACAGTTTCAATAAAGGTGGAGTTATTTTCATGTGGTCTTAATGACTAGTCTGCTTCCCTTTTTCATTTCTTTTGGCAAAGGCTTTGCATTGCAGTTCATAGATTGTTTTCCCCCAAAAAATGAAATTAGTTGGCAAGCGACATGTGTTGCATACTCTGTTTATGGTTGGAATGAATAATTTAAAGGACACTGACTATGAACTGTCTGCTGTGCAGCATTATCATCCTTGTCGGACAAGTTAAATGAAACAACCTCTCGGTTATCTGAATTGCAACTTCAGTCTGCATCAGAGGTAGGGCTTCAATTTCTTTATGTGTGACCTAGGCCGATCCGTTTGAAATCGTTTGGTGATTTACACGTGTTTGTCTCCTGAATGCGTAGCAACTCCAAAAAACATAGATTTGTTATTTTTGGGACTCTTCCAAGCACTAGGACGTTGTCCAATTTCTAGTTAGAACAGAAAGGAGAGCAGGAAGCTAAAAAAGTTGCCATTCTTTCTGAAATTCTGGAATGTTCTTATGCGGTTACTGTATTGTTTGGCATGGGTTCTCATAATTTGAAGAGAATAAAGAAACAGATCTCTCCAAGGAAGCACCACTGGGGGTGGTAAAATGAACCATCTTTTAAATTTAATTTATAAAAAGAAAGCCATTTTAGACATTTCTACCTCATGGCAAAATATGTATAATGCACACGAATAAATTGAGTAACTATTTGTTCATTGAATTGACAATAATAGGCTTTATTTCTTGGAAAATTGTTTGTTTCCTTTCGATATATAGATTTACCGAATTCTTAAAGAGGTAACTAAAATGTATTATGTACCTCCTCAAGCTATACCTCTTTCTCGCACGCCGTTAATCTCTTGTGAAATCTTTTAACTTATGATGTGATACATCTTATTTGTTTCGCCTAAAGTAGCTGTGATCTTATCGTCTCAATTGATATGCTCTAGTAAAGACATGCATGACTTCATCAAATAGTGCTGTGTTGATCTAGTAGTTGAGTGTTATAAAACAAACTAGATCAACTTGCTTCTTGGTGAGTATATTTGAATGTGACTTACTTTAATTTTTTATTTGTGTTTGAGCCTATCAAATTTACCAGTAGTCATCTTTGATCACATGCTGGAAATAATTATTGTTTTTACTGTTTTAATGTCTTTTGGGTTGAAAAACTATGTCAATTTGGGGTTTCAGAGGTTGTATTACACGAGGAGAAGATTTAGACCTCCAAGAAACTGGGGAAAATGGGGATAAAAGCAGTTAACAGTGAGGTAGAAACATGAGTTTTTGTGAATTTTGATAGTCTTTTGAATGAAACCATCGTGAGTAGTGAATTTGATTTTACGCTTGTTTTTTAGTTGTTTGTCTGTAGTATGCAGTGAATATTAAACCTCAGCATAAATTGACAGAGGAAATGTTGATGTCTAAGTGAAGTTTTGCTTTCAGGAGTTCTCTTTGTTTCCATTGAAATATCTTTGCTGGGACCTTGTTTACTGTGGACAGGAGCCTGTATTAGTGGAGTAAATTAACAATAAGGTTTTATGTTATTGGGTTTACCATCAAACATAAGAGCATTTATAAGTAGATGTGAATTAGGATCTCAAAATGTTAGTTTAGATTATTTCCTATTTTTCTTTTGTTTCTGTTCTAAGGGAATGATAATTTCTGGCAAAAAGAAGCCTGTATTGAAATGGAGGACTGATCATATATCAACCAATAGTTGCAGTTTGTGTTTTACCTATTAACTTATCTGCCTTTCACAAATTGGCGACATTCATCGAGATACGTGCAGAACACATGGAAGATGCCTGTCACATTGCTATTGAAATTTGTGATTTTCCATTCTCAGGACTAAAACTTGCTTCTTCTGCCATGATTATCAATGATTTCCTGTACATGCCATTAAATTCTCCACAGAGGTTCTATTTGTGTTGACATACCATTTATTTTTTCTAGGTTGGTAATGGTGGGGTTGGTCTTATATGGTCAACTAGCGAGGGAAGTCATGAAGAGGAATGGAGGCATTCAGTTGCACCCATTCCTGCAGATAAGCTTGAAATTTTGTACACCTCGAATGATGAACTTGAGGTGTTGCATCAGGATGGGAATGTTCCACCACCAGAGGAGATGGAACGTGACTCTGTTGCTTCTGATAGTTCTGAGGATATAAAGGATGAATTTCAAACCTTTGAAAAAGAGGTATGTAGTGAGACTCTTTTGGCTATCAGTAACCAAAATAGAGAGATTAATTTTCAATAACTTATTTCTATCTGCAGGTTTTCGCTACTTTTGAGCGTGCTGTACTTGAAAATCACAAGGATGACAATGTCATATTGGAGGTAAACTCACTACGGTATGTTTTCCTTTTCCTGTTTCAGCTGCTATTAAGATTGGATTATATCTGTAAAAGTATAATTTGTTACCAGTTTGACATATTTGGGTATTGCAAAGACTCTTTCCTGGAAAAAAGAAGAAAAAGCAAAGACTGGAAACGTGGTGCTATAAAATCTATCATGAGCTGATACTCTATGATGGGAAAAAGAATCTATTGTATAGGAGTATTATTAAGATGTAGATCTCTTGAAACCTATGTAGCCCATTTTCTTGGATCCTTGTTGATTTACATTATTTTTATATTAAAGGAAATTTTTCATTAACCTTAAGATGGCTAGATCTGGGTTAAGCTCACCTTTACGTTAACAAATGTGTGAAGGTTTTTGGAAAGTTGGAAAAGTGTCCTACTTTCAGGTTAATGTTTTCTTTCCATACACCTGAATTGGCAGAAGAGGCAATCAAAATCATGCATTGATATAGTGTATGTGTTGGTTAATCCTAAATGGTTATTATGTATATTCAACCATAAGGCAAGAGTTATTGAGTGGACATAAGGTCCCATGCCTTTTATGTCCAGGTCAAATTGGTCAATTAGTGATGAACATATCTAATACCATAAGTTGCATATTAATTAGTTAAGCTTCTGGAGAAAACTTCATAAACAAGAGATATGCTTATAAGTCAAAAAAACTATGTGAAGCTTGTTATATTGCTGAAGCATTAAAAATCTGCTTACGGCTTGTTTGATCGGTGTATGTGTAGGATCCAGCTTAGTAACTGACTGCTCTAATGACTTATATCAAGTGAAATGTTTGGTTCCACCTACCTGTTTAATTCATTTAATGCTGTTTTTGATTTATACTTTACCAGCATGGGTATTGAGGGCATTTCGTAAATAATTTAGTTCCTGTTTGTTTTCTTCTTTTTGCGTCAGATTATCATTCAATTTGGATGCCTCAGATTGCGCTGGTCCATTGTTTTATTCGATAATGAAGTGGGCATTGACCATGGGTCATAGCTCCCCTAGTAAGTGTCCTTGTGTCAACCTCAATTGCCTTTAACACTTTACCTTGTATACTGTTTTATTTTTTCTATTTCATTATATGAGGATTACAGACTGCTGCTGCTAGTCTGCCATAACTTTTACCTTTTAACCTCCTCCCCCCCATTTGGCAGGTCATGCTGAATGTTATTTTCCTTCATCTCATGGTTAAAATGCATGTCATTTAGTTGCAACTGGAGTCATTCATAACAAACTAACTTGCCAGATTTCACATTTGTCTGAAGGCCTGTAGTTTCTTTGCCTTGGTCTTATCTTATTTCATACATAACATGCATTAATGCTGCTTTATCAATCATTGCAAATCTGGAGACATTAACTGGAAAACATTAAGAGTGGATTAGGTTTCAGTGTCATTGTTTTTTTTTAACTTATTTTTAATTTTTAAATAAGGTTTCATTATCAATTTTAGTTCGACATCATTCAGATACCGTCTAGGCTAGTTCTCCTTGAAACGACCTTAGGTATTGGTTTCTACATTAAATTGGTGATCAATGCTGTCTTAAGCTTTTGACATTTAGAAGAGAAGAAAAAATGGAAGTGATAAAATTTATGGTTGGATGATGTTACTGAACAATAGATCATTGTCATGGATTTGCTGGCCCAAATGGTCATCTTGTATTTGTGTTGTTTACTGTATCATTTTAATGTGTAGTGCAGTCGCGGATAAGATGTTTGTGTTTCTTGCAGGTGAGTTGGTGAAAAATGTTGCAAGTTTGCTCACGAAATGGCAGAAAGTTCTCAAGTACTACATGCCTAGTATAGATGAAGAGGTTGATTCCTTTTCTCTTATGATAATGGTGTACAATGGTGTTCAAATTGTGTCTTATTTGAAACAGAACCCTATCTGTCTAAAATTTAGTTCCTTCCTAACTTCTCTTGTGGATGAATTTATTTTTGAGACTCCTTTAGAGCTGTGGTAGTGGTAACGTACTTGTCAAAAGTCCCCTTGTCTGCAATCATTGCTTTGATCATGATTATAAAGCTCATCTTACAATCATTACTAGGATAATAATTATGTTAAGGTGGCAAGAAACTTTTGATATCTCTTTGACTGGGGATAGAGTCTGATAGAGACGCATAAGAATGCATTTTTTTTTTTCTTTCTTTCTTTCTTTTTTGTTTGTTGGGTTAAAATCAGAATGCCTTCATCATCACCGAGTGAGGAAGGTAATAGAAGTATTAACGCCAACGTTAATGTTGTCCATATTACAGATGAGATATATACTCACTCTATTTCAAAAAGAGTTGCATATGCTGCAGATGTCAAGTTCTTCACTACACACGTCGTGTTATGTTCCTATTTCATTTATTTGATTGAAATATAGATTTGTTCCAACAGACTATTGACATTGCCAAATTCCTTTCGGGTTGCTACAGATAGAAGTGATTATGAAATTCGAGGAAATGTGTATGGAGTCTGCGAAGGAATATTCTCAGTTATTTTTGCAGGTATTTTTCCAGTAAGATTCTTCATTTAAATTGCTAAATAGTTATTAGCAAACCAATTTATGTGTTAAGATTATCAGTATCTAGCAAATAGCTGATAGTTGTGGTGTGGAGCAAGTCTATTGCTGAACATTGGTCTTACAAAATAGAGAACTGCACTACTTTTCTACAATATCGTGCCCATCCTTGTATCATTGTTTTTTCTGGACTCTTGAACCAATTAGGTGAAAAAGAAAGAGTAAAGGACTTGACTAATGTAATTTGATAAGTTCCTATTCACTTCTTAATTAGATAGCTTGGGGTCCATGTTTCTCAGTTGTTTTCAATTTACCTAAGAATTTCCTATTTATATTTTGGTTTATGATGTGTGCTAGAAGAAGAGTATAATATAATCTACTCTGTTTTCTTACTGTGGAATTTACCTCTTTTGCCCCCTCTCTTTTTTGGAAGATCCTGCATCTTTTGTATGATAAAGATATTGTGCAAGAGGAAGCAATATTGAATTGGGCATCCGAGAAGGAAAATGCAGATGAAAGTGATAAGGTTTTGCTGAAGCAGGCCGAAAGTTTAATCCAGGTGCGCTACACGATTATTTCCCATGGCTGGGTGTAGTAGTTACTGTTTGTCATCTTTTATGAACTCATTCTGGTATAGCATTTTATAAGTGATCTTTGGTAATTGCTCAGATTGGATATTGCATCCTTGGTAAGCCATTCTGTTTTGCCTTTTTCTTTTGTGGCTCAAAAATATTTAAAGTCATTCTAGAACTCTAAAAAGTTACTTATTTGAAATATAAAAATGTGTATTGGGAGTATGAGTATCAATTTTAAAGTGATCAGTAAATTGAAAATGAATAAGTTTTGAATTCAAAGGCAAAGGCGGTTTTGTTGCTCCATACCCTTGTTCTGGTTTAGATAATGTGATCAAAACAAAAAGGTGTGCCCATGTGAATGATAAATGTCAAAGCTAACACAAGAGTCCCTCTAATGCTAGGCTAAATTTTGATGTATCAAGGTAAATTTAGATTTTTTATATACTTTATGTGGGAAAATATGCCATGTCATTTCCTGTTGCATGAAGATAATGTTCAAGTTCTGGAACAGTGGCGTGTTCACCATAGCCCTTTCTTAGGCTTCTGACATACTAAATGCTATGGTTTTTTTTTTTTTAATTTTTTTTTCTTTGTGTACATATCTTATCTCAGTTCCTTCCTTTACAATCTGGGTATTACTTTGATGCAGTGGTTGAAAGAAGCATCTGAGGAAGAGGACGAGGACGAGGATTGAAAAAAGGTCGAGATGGTTCTGTAATTATTATTTCACTAATCGGATAAACTCTCTTTGGATTCAAATAGAAAGAATTTTTTGACGTAATTTTCTTTTCCCCCCTTGGGTGAATCTACATTCCTAATGGAATTCAATACCCAAATCATCAATAGATCCACTAAGAACCTGAAATTCTTTGTTTTGTTTTGTTTTTTTTTTTTTCCAATGCATTCTATTCATCGCAATTCATAGAGCTCCTTGGTACGAGTTTCTCATTTTGTGTCAATAGTTCACTTTTGTACCTTGTCTAGCTGCCAAAGTTGGGGACATGAGTTTACTGGCCTTTACTGGATGAAAGTTTTCAGATTATCTCGTAATTTAAAAATTACTCCCATCGTATAGAATAATGGAGTATCATGTTTCTAAGTATTTTCTTTTTTAAATACAAAGAAAACTCTAGGATATTTTTGACATATCTAGTGTCCGAACATGTGCTTATGATATCGCCTTGTCACTTTGTCTGAAATATTCTGCTTAAATCACGTGTATTTAAATTATAGAAGGCTAAAACATTAGGATTGAATTTACGTCATGTTATTATAGGTGTATTGCTTTACTTTATGTTCTTGCTTTGTCGCGTTTAATTATTCTCCGAAGTTGTTAAATTCGACCCGGTGATCGTACTTTACGTGCTTGTTTGTGTGTGTTGTGTTTCACGTTTCTGAAGGATCAAATTTTGTTATATGTTCTCTTCTCATTGTGTTGCTTTAGAAAACTGTGGGAAGTGCACTGCACTCTTTACAAATCAAAAGTAGAAAAATTAGTGTTGCCAAAGTGTTTTTTGTAAATTAATTTCTTATTTAAAAAATAGACTATTAAAATGGAATTAAAGGAGAAAACTATAAAATTTGGTTTCCAATTAATATTGCATCAGTGTGTAATCTGATGTGATTATTACCCACTTTTAAATTTGGATATTGACCGTTAGAGTTCTGTTTAGAGCAATTATAAACTATGATTTTGACGAAGCATAGATCTGCACGGTGTCTTAGAACGGGTGACGATGATGATTTAGGCGGCGGCGGACGGCTTTAAACCTGCAAGACAGAGTCTCGGGTGTCTCTCGAGGATAGACTCTCGGATACTTAAGTCAATAAGAGAATAAAGAGAGTAGCGAGAGAGGGATGTGTATCGTGTGTAGAAGGTGTAGAAGATAAGTAGAAGATATATCTTATGAGAGAGGCGCCACCTCCTTATATAGATGTGGTGTTACCTGTTTCCTTAAACTTAGTCGTAATAGGTTTAGGCGTGGCTTAATCTTTAAGTAATCTAATCCTAATCCCAATAGACCTAGGGTTTAATTCTAACTCGTCAAGTGCCCCTAATAAGCCATATTATCGAAACTCACCGAGAATAATATAGGTTGCTACGAGTGTTGATGTCTTCTCGAGTTTTGTGGTATTGCCCTAGTTCTCGAACTCTTTCGTTCTCTGATGTCACCTATATAAGATAAAGAGAATAAAGTGTCTTGAGGAGGTCTTATTGTTAGAGAGTTTCTTGTTTGCGCGGTGGACCGCGAGTGTGTAGATTATTGAGATGCAATACAAGATAATAATGACATGTAGTAATAAGATGCTCCTAAGGAATATCCGTTAAGTAGATGATGTTTGGATGATCTCTCAAGTTCCTTGCCCTTAGGGTTTTTTCCACTTTGTGCCCCGAGTACGTTTTCCTCGTTGAAAGCAATCCTGAGGTAATTTTCCTCATTGCAGGGTCATGAGAATTTTCCCTAGAGGGTTGGTTCCTCGAAAGATTTCTTTGATCGTGCTCAAAAAGATATCGTGATATGATAGTAATATGATAATGATATCAGATATTAAAGCATGAAAAGGTTTTAGAAGTACCTCGATCTCGTAATAAATTGATTATTCGAGAAAGTGTTACCTCGATTCCGAGAAGGTAGTAGTTGAGTAGATAAAAGTCGAGATACATCTTCTCGAACACTTTAAGTAGTAGTATGGTGCTCGAGGGATGGTTGCCCCTTCGAGGAGATGTATTTCTCAAAACTCTAATCTTCGAAATTGCCCCTTGCTAACCTGCAAAATTTTAAAATCTTTAGGGACCAAATAATTAAAATTATTAGGGATTAAGTGACAATTCTCAAATTGAGGAATTGTTCTTGGCTGAATATTCTGCCCCTTTTGACGGATTTTGAACTTCAGGGGCTGTTCTTCTTGATCAGTTGTCCCACTGGGCGTGCCACTTGACGAAGCATGGATCTGTATAGTGCCTTAGGACGGGTGGCGATGATGATCTAGGCGGCGGCAGACAGCCTAAAACCTGCAAGACAAAACCTCGGGTGTCTCCCGAGGGTATACTCTCCGATACTTAAGTCAATAAGGGAATAAAGAAAATAGAGAGAAAGGGATGTGTATCATGTGTAAAAGGTGTAGAAGATAGATAGAAGGTATATATTATGAGAGAGGCACCACCTCTTTATATAGAGGTGGTGTTATCTGTTTCCTGAAACCTAGTCGTATTAATTTTAGACGGTGACTTAACTTTTAAGATAACCGGTCCAAATCTATTAGGGTTAGGGTAAATTCATGACACGTCAGCTGAGTCTCCTATCACAGAAAAATCGCCCAAGTTTAGCTCCAAAACCCGCTGTAGAGCTCGACGTAGCGCCAGGAATTTTGACGGCATATAGATTGAATTCGTAATAGACGTCCAATATCCGGTGTCTTTCAATTCCAAAATCCTCTGAAAAAGATTGAAACGTAAAAATAACAAAACATGTTAAACCTTCAAAAACATGATAAATGTGCAAATCTCGGAAAAAGTAAAATTAACGGCTTTTTCAGGATCAAGTCATATTTACTTACACACGCTTGAAAGTGAACGATAGCCGAGATTAACAAAATATTCTGCCTCTTACAAATTTGAAAACTACAAATATTACACAGTTTGATATTGAGTTTTGGTTACACAGACGATGACAACCAAAGCGCCATATGAACGTTGATTTTGCAAAATGATATACACAATTTGAAATTTTTATTTTGTAGCAACATATTTTACAAAATGGATTGCCTGTTTGGTAGGTGTAAATGTATATCAAATCCTGGTTTGGTGATTATCTACATTTAAAATGAAGATACTATCCATGTTTTTAAAAGGATATTGTTGCATGTTTTGATTCAAAAATCACGCAAAGAATATTATCTAGCTATAAATGAAATTTGAAGTATTAGATATGATTCCAATCATCTATCTATTCGTTGAAGTTATGCGATATGCTCCCATCTTTTTCGTATTATTCAATGCTATTACTAAGCACAAAGTTGGACAAAGTACCAAGTACCAACTGCATTCTCTCACTAATAGAAAGTATATCTTTTCTATTTCCATTTCTAATACATATATATTACACTCCCTCAACCCGACAAAAAAAAAAAAAAAAAAACTTAATCGTGAACTGTTCTTGGCTATTGCCACAGATATCACAAGAGAGTGGTTGGTGGAAATGGGCGGGACTGGAAACTGGATTGCTGATTACCGGGAGTTGGACATGATGACGACCGTTGTTCTTCTTGGTTGCAGGGGAAGTGGAAAAAGCGGCACCGGAAATTCATTGGTGGGACGAAAAGCATTTGAAACAGACTTTTCTAAACATGCAACCGTGTGTCAGCGACAAGCGACTGTGGTCCAAGATGCTCAAGTTCTCCATGTTATTGACACTCCAGGAGGTTATTATTTTGATTTAGTTCTTATTATAATTTCGTCTATGGTTATTTCAATTTTCCCCTATAGCATTTGGATTAGTAATTAGCCTCTTAGAATTTAGCACTTGTAACATTGAAATTTGATTTGTTTTATCAATTCTTTTTCTTGAAAAAGATTTCAATTGTATGAAAAACTACGCAGGGTTTCTTGAGCCAGGGTTTAAAAAAGAGGAGATCTGTAGATGTTTGGATATGGCAAGATTTGGAATCCATGCAATCCTCTTTGTTGTATCTCTTCAAAGAGGATTCGGCAAGGAAGTAGAGGGAGTTGAGGCATTGAAACATTATTTTGGACCAAGGATTGTGGATTATATTATTTTTGTCTTCACAGTTGGTGACGAACTAGATGATAAAAAAGAAGTTTTAGACGATTGGCTAGCGCGCACATGCCCTAGTGATTTCAAGGTATGGGTTCTGTATAATATAGGTCCTAAATTTCTAATGCTTTCTCCTTTGAATTATATTGTTAATAATCACTCTTAATTTTCCGAGCGAACGATCTCCTGATTTCTTCTCATGCAAGTGTCAAAGAACTAGAATCTCTATTTTAATTACAAGTCTAGACCTTACCTTTTGTTTATGTTAGAACTTTGGTCCCTCTGTTCGGCCTAGCGCATATTTTGTCGTTTGCCTATTCTGTAAAGTAATACAGGGCCGGTCCTTATTATAAGACGTTTTAATTTGTGTTGGGTTTCACTTATTATATTATTCCAATTTTTTTTTAAAAAACTTTAAAAATAGTTCCTAACAATAGGAGAACACAATAAATGTGAGAAAGTTTTAAAGGTTTTCTTTCAGTCAAAAAAACATATTCAATGAAACTTATAAAAAAATAAAATATATTTATCTTTTTTTTTTTAGCAAACCAGGTTAGTACCTGGGAAATTTATTGATAAAGTAAAATATTTCCGGGACAGTGCGTAAGACTTACCCCCTACAAAGAGAAACCGTCATTAATTGATAGTGATTTGAATATTAGTAAACTATATCGGGGAATAGACTAGTACAGTATAATACTCTTGCCTCCGTCAGAAACATACATTTTCACGATAGAGGACAGTGATCGTTTCTTTTGATTTGCATATTGTGGATCACCGTTCACGGACTGCCGCATTTGGTGTGCATAAATGAGAATCTCGAACAGTGAGTGATACACTGAGAATTTGGTTGCGGCCTCCAAGTTGTCACTGGTACGAGTCGACAGACACCAAGCATAAACTAACTAAACTATAACCCGATATAGTTTATTTGTAGACCAGAGAGGCTAGTTTGCAAGGGAAACCGGTTTTTTGAACCAGAGAACCGTCGATACATCCAAATAACCGGATGTGGGATAACCTTATTTGTGGCCAGAGATGAAAAGAACGATCTGCGTTGTTCGTGATGGATTGAGATGGCGGGTCACTCTACATCCTGGTGACAGCAGATCGGAGATTCTCTGGTCGGCTGGTATGGGGTCGTTCGTCAGTGGGCTTTTTGACAGATGGTCGCTTCTAGCGTCGGACCTCGGTGGCTACCTGAAGAGAGCAGAAGACAGCGGTGGCGGCTGGATTTCAGATCGGAAAGGACCTGCAGATCTCAACAGATCTGGCAACATTGCCGTGGATCCGTCTTGTTGTGACCGGTTTTATAGCAGCAAGTGGAGGCCGTTCTTTTGATCGGTGGCAGTTGCGTTGCTGGGGTGGCTGTTGATCTGGTCACCGGATTCAGATCTGTATATCTGCGCTGTCAACACAAGCGGGGGTTGTCCGATGGTCAAGTTTATGGCGTTCGGTGAATTCCGAAAGTCACGTGAGGCTTATCTGTTCAACTGCAACAGAGGACGGAGGAGGCCATGCCTATTTTGAAAAGAAAGGAAAAAATGAAAAAATTTGAGAAAAGAAGGCTCTCCCAACCACCGTTAATGGCGGTCGGGAGAGTAGAAGAATTCCGGCGAAGAAGACTTTTTAGAGAGGGGCGAGAGAAGTCTTTTTTAGAGAGAGAATACTATAAGAACTAAAAAAAATTAAAATATCTTATAATAAGTACATGAAGGAGTAGTTTAAGTCTTTATTCTATGCCTAGTTTATAACTTTGGTTTTGATATCGGTTGAAAGGAAACAAACAAAAAAGAAAAGAATGTCTAACAACTTTTTATCACTCGAGTAAGATGTGAAATTATATTTGTCATCACATTCGCATTTTGGCTCTTTATATTTTGATCCTGAACCTATTTGATGCTCGGCCTATAGGAATTTATTGTGAAGTGTGGAAACAGAAGAATAGTAGTTGAGAACCAGGCCAAGGATGCACTCAAGAAAGCCGCACAACTTGAAAACCTTCTTATTCTTGTCAGTGAGACTGTGGCAATAAATGGAGGAAAACCCTACACTGAATTTTTGGTGCATCAGAAGGTAAACATTTTACTGTTTTCTAATATCTTTCCAAACTGGTTGGATTGGGGAAAGAAGAATAGAGAGTTATAAATCAATCTGGTTACATTAATTATGATCAGCCTCGACGTGAATATGTTCTTATATTCTTATTTGGTTTGGATTATAAATATACAGGCCAATCATGGTAGGCTTGATCATCAGAACGATGAGATGGTTAACAAGTTGAAAGAGCAATTGAAGAGTATTCAAGGGGAGCATGAAAGAGGACAAGATGAAATTTGTAAATTGAAACAAGAACTTGCCAAAGTGCTCATGGAAGCTTCTCAGAATCTGAAAGATGATTTTTTGCGAGTAACTAAACGAGAAGAAGAAGCACAAGATGAGATTCGTAAGTTGAGAGAGAAGCTGGAGAGAGCTCAAATGGAGGTCATCGAAAGGTTCAAAGAGGATTTGAGGAGAGCTCAAAGCCAAGTCTAAAACGGGAATTGCCGTTTATTTCAAATTCAAATACTCCCTCCGTCCCATAATTATTGTCTAATTTTACTAAAATGAAAGATTTTATTTTTGGTCAAACTTAACTATATTTTACCTTAAACAACCGGATATACCCCTACGTAATTGTTTAACCACTAAGATTTTATGGATAATGTTTTTTACTAAGGACAAATGTGTAACTTAATCCATAAAAAGTCAAATTGGACAATAATTTTGGGACAAAATTTTTTGGGCAAAGTGGACAATAATTATGGGATGGAGGGAGTAATATTTTATCTATGAAGTATTGGTTTTATTTTGTAACTTTTGGCCGATTACCTGTTTCCCAATCCACATATTAGTTAATCAGTTACTAGTGGCGTTACTATTGCGGAATATCTTTCGGAGAGTCATGTTGTGGTCACCTTGAAGTTATTTTTCTCATGTTGAAGTTCACGAACTTCACAAATTTACAATTGTGAATTGTATGCTTTGTCTTATTTCTTTCTCGCCTTTCGGCTTTCTGTTTTCTCCGTCGAGTGTATGGAAATTAACGTAATGTTCCCGAACACAAAAGAACAAAAGAGAGACATATATGATATATGATGTATCATGGCAATGTATACATTATGATATATGCAGTGGTTTTGAATACATATATGACACATCATTTTTCTCAAATTTTTCTTATAAATGTCTCCCACTGAATCATTTTTCTTTTCTTTTCCATATATAGGACCATCATGGTTTCACGACATCACAAAAGCTTAAGGAGATTCGAAAGCCACCGAATGAAAGGACTTCCCAGCAAGGGCGGAGCTACAGTGGGGGCACGTGCCCCCACTGAATTTTTTCCCCTAAAAAAAGGCATATATATGTGTTGTTTTTATTACGGAACTCCTGGTATATGTAAAGCAAGCAACAGACTATGTAGAAGTAATTTTTTGGTCAGGTTCCCCTCTTTTAATGCTTTCAGCGAGTTCACTTTGTCCTTCCCTTCCAACTAATAAAGCTCAATTCCTATTATCTAATTATGATTTGTGATTTTTGTATTACCGTGAGAAATTATTATCTATTTCAAGATAATAATCATACATTGAACATTCTCAACATCAAGTAATTTGAACAATTGTCATGAAAGAGCTATGTATTCACAATTGTTTGGTACAACTGTATAATATTATCATAGCTGATGTTAATTATTCTCGTGCTTTTCCTTAATATCGTAAGAAGGGGTATAATTTGGTTGTTATCTTTATACCAGTACCTAGTAGTAGTATCTTAAAAGTTAATGGTAATTTAGTCAAAAACATTCACAGCATGGAGAAATTATTTAACATTGGCCACATTATTGTAATCCACTTATTTATTTACAATATCATGATGTATGCTTTCAAAAAAACAAAAAAAAAATGACCAAAGCAAAATAAAGTTAAAAAATTCATTATATTCTTTGCTCTCTCATAACGGGTGGTTTAGTGTATATTTCTTTTCCATCGTTGCTTTAAAGTTTTTGCAAGTCTTTAAATATACAATAAAACCTCTCTAAATTTATAGCCTTGGGCCCCCCAAAATTTATTAATTTATTGATAAATTAATAATTATTATTTTAAAGAGTTTTTCAATTCTGATAGAGGATAATCTTTGCCAAGAAGAAAAGAAAAATCAATTATCAATACGGACTTCTAACATTATTAATATGTTATTAGAGTTCTCTTGGTGTGGCTGCAAATTTTGAATCTCCAGAAAACAAGCACTAAAAGAAATAGCAACTCTTTATACTTTTTTGTTGCAGTATGATGAAGCGACATTGGAACTTTTGAATGCAATGAGAAAGATCTAAGATGATATCTCTATAGATATAAATTTTAAGAAAAAAAAAATCAATAGATTCATATTTTACTAGAAATTTTATTAGTTTTTGTTTAGGTAATTATTAATTTTTGAAAATGTGGGGACCTATATTTACATAGGGGATTCTTGAAAATTTATTATTTTATAAATTAATCGAGTTTTTTCATTTTTTACACTAGCCCCCAGTTGGAACTGGTAAAATTTATTATTTAATAGAGGATATAAATTCATACAAGATTAATTTAGAGAGATTTTACTGTATATCAAACGATGTCAAAATATACAGTAAAGTTATGCTATATCTTTCAATGAGATGATCATCAGCTTATGGAACGCTGAGCTTATTTTATTTTCATGTATGTTACATATGTTATCATATATGTTTTAAGCTTGTTTTAGAGTAAGAATGACGTGCCCCGATGAATTTTTATCCAGGCTCCGCCACTGTTTCCCAGCACACTATTTTTAATACATGATCCCCAATAAAATTCTAAGCCACATGTGAACAAGTCTATCAGTCAAAAGATTTCCCCATTCTTTTTATATAACTCCGGTGAGAGGCAAAATCCACATATCCAAATTTAAATTAAGGAAGAAGAATCAAGAGACTTGTACAATTCATTGACCAAACGACACAATGCGCTAAGGAAGGACGACAAAATAAAAAAGACAAACATCATTTGTTAAGAGAAAATCAAATTGCTACTCAGCGCACCAATTACAAACAAGAAGAGGTTGCAGAAACATAACCAGATGGAAGCACTGCTTTATACGCGGTACCCGGTGCGCTCAAGTTTAGAGCGCACCGGGCTGGGCAGGCGCGCCCTGAGCGGGCAGCTCACTGCTTTTTTTTTTTTTTTTTTCTTTCTTTTTATTTTTTATTTTAATTTTTTATTTTAGTTTTTTTAATTTTTAAAATATTTTTTTAGTAAAATTTTAGCCACTCTTTACACACGCAGTTAGTAGATTAGGGTCTAATGTGTAACGTAATACGGATAACTTAAAATTTTTTTTAATCTAATTAGGCTAGGGTCTCATTTAGGGTAACCTAATTGGATTAAAAAAATTTAAACCAAATAAAAAGTTAATTTGTTTAGTGTTTAGGGTTTAGGAGGGTTTAAGCATTTCAATTAAGTTAGGGTCTAATAATTAATATTTACAGTTTAGGATGGTTTAATTATTTTAATTAGGTTACAGTCTAGTGATTAAGATTTATGATTTCAGAGGCTTTAAACATTTTTGATTATGCTAAGATTTAGTGTATTGCGTAACATGATTAATTTATAAATTTTTTTAATTTAATCAAGTTAGGACTTTAGCATAATTAAATCAAAAAATTAAAATGAATAAAAAATATAATGTATTTAGGGTTTAGGATTTAAGAAGGTTTAATTATTTTAATTAAATTAGAGTATAAAATTAATAAAAACCATACAGTTTGAAAAAATTTAAAAAAGAAAGGAAAAAAAGGGGGTGAGCGTACGTCTAAGCGCGCACCCACAGTACCTAAACCATACAGTTTCAAAAAAAATAGGTAGCACCGGGTGCCCCATAAAATAACTGGACACCAAAGTAATAAAGTATTTAAGACACAAAAGCAACCATAATATATATTAACATTACAAAATTCCAAATCACTCCAAGGCCCATGGATTCTCCTTGCGAATCTCCTCTTCTTTCCTTGGAGCGAAATCATTCTTGATGTTGAGTGTCTTGCGGATTTCCTCTGGCGTCTTCCCCTTTATCATGTCTACCACAGTCTGGCAGATGAGGTGATGTAGGCTCTTTATGTTTAGATAGTTTGCAGCCAAGAGAAGATGGTAGAGAGTGTCCGGATCAACTTTGACGAACTCGGCGTCGAAAGACTTTTGATCATAATCATCGGAGGTGTTGTGGACGTGGCGCTTGCAGTACTCAACCACCTTAGCTAGGATTTTGCTGGTGACATCAGGGAGAAGGATGTCGTTACCGGCACAATCGTCCTTACTCGTGTTTAATCGTCTGCGATTGAAGTGCTACCTCTTCCTCCACCTCGAAAGTCTCACCGTCAGAGCTCTTCAACACGATTTTCTTAGATGTCGACATGCTGCCAGATTCTCGATTGAGGATTTTTATTTAAATGCTAAGAAAGATGGAAACTCTAACCCTAGAATACTGAGTACCCCTATTTATAGATTTAAAACATCGGACAATTAAAACCAAAAGCCAATCGGAAACTAATTGGAATTTTAACGACTGTGTCGGCCAACAATTTATTTCCTATTTTGAAAAGAAAAAAAGAAGGAACTTATTTCGTCTTGTAAAACTTAAACATTCGCTGAACACAAATTTTACTTGGTTTTAATTTTGAAAGGAGTTGAGAACGGTTTAAGAAATGCATGTTGTAATTTTGTTTATTTATTTAGTTTTTAGGCCATGATACAGTCATTTATATAACTAACTCTAAATTATGGTGAGAAAAAACTATCTGCGAGTGCGTGATGTAATGGTTTACTCGATGCAAAGTCATAAAACCCTTCGAGCTACCTAATGTTGGGGATGAAAATTGTAGTTAAGACCTACTTACATATGCTTAATAAGTCTTTTCACACAATGGATAAGGCTACAGGAAGTCAAGGTTTAATTAATCTCACACGAAGTTCTTGCTATTCATTCCTTGCCCGAGATGTTTGGCTTTGTAACTCTAGAGTACTTGAAGCACGGAAGTCGACCAAGAAGATGCGTGTGACAAAATGCTTCTCGGTCATTGACAAGCGTTAAGTACAAATATCAGGTCTGCCCCCTATTTATTGAATTTTAAGTTTGTTTAATATTTTGGGTCACATACCAGCATCAGCTTCTTTTTTTAATTTATTGGTATTATTCATTGAAGCATCAGCGATTTTCGCCTTGAAATGTCAGATTTTGGGTTGTAAGTTAATTAGTTTAATTTAGCTTATATGTCCATAAAAATTATTATTTAACTGTTTCATTTGATTCATAAAATTTCAAGATAAGTTTTAAGATCGAATATTTAGGTTATTGCCAATTAATTACAATAACTTCAGATATGTATATATGTGTGTTTGCTCGAATTTATGCTTAGTACATCTGTAGTATATGTGTGTTTGCTCGAATTTACGCTTAGTACATCTGTAGAGTCGTCATGTACCTTTCAAGCTAGTCAATCTCAAAACCATTACAAATATATTCAGTATATGGACATTTTACATTACGAAAATTCGGCCATTCGATTGAATAGCATCACATCATCATGGCTGGAGTATCCAAGGCGCGAGATCAGATATTGGATTACAAGGAAAAGGAACAAGATGTACGAAATCTTAATCGTGAATGATGTTGTACTAGTTTTTATATGTTAATCAATTTCGAGCCACGGAAAAGTATACTGCATCCCATATGGTGTCCATTGAGCAAGAACCAGAGAACAATTGTGATTGTAATAAGATTTTGGTTTCTAGAGTTTAGAAGGGAGCAGCATGCGTCACCAAAATGAAGATTTGTCCTTAGAATTATGAAAAGAAGCATTTCCTAAGCAAATCGATGACATAATATTCTTATCATAAAAGCATTAACGTGGCAACCATATATATTTAATAATATGTAGTATGTAAAAATAATTGAATTGTCTCAAATTGATTTTTGACATTATATAAAGGCTTACGAAAATCCTACAATGAATTTTTTTTGTGTTTTGGTAAAAGCTGTAGCGCAATTTGTATGACTATGAGTCAAAGTATACAAGTAATTCAATCTCCTATTTTAAAATCAATTGGAAAGGTGGGGATATGGGACAGCACATCTTAACACTATCAAAATAAAATTAATTCATTCATAAATCCAGACCAATCAATGATTTGTTACAATTCTTCAATATTCTTTGGATTCCTCTCCAACCCATATAGTCTTGATTGAGATACTTTTCTGTTCTTCAATACTCTAAAACATTTTCTTTGCTTTTATCAAGAACAAAGAGCTTGGCGTTGAAAAAATTTACTAACAGGTTCGAATTTCTCTATGTTCAACAAGATTAGTATTATCTTTATAACCTTTGATTAAGGAATTCTTTTTGAAGTTTGGTGAAAATATAATTATTTGGTTTTTATTTTCTTGTTTTATAATCTCTCATCATGTACCGACGGTTTTCTTGCTTCAGCCTCTTTTCCAACAAATACAAGTTTCACTTATGTAGTTATGGTACTGATCTGGATATAGCTCGAATCAATGACTTAAACTCTCACGAGTTTCTTGATAATTTAAAATAAAGTTGTTTCTCAGCAATAGCTGGAGTGGAGAAGCAGGATAGAGGGGCCGATGCCCGTTGGAGGTCCGGAGGAGGCACAGAGCCGGTCAAAGGGAAAGCTAGAGTTTCGGTATCAATCTCCACGAAAGCAGAACGAAGAAGAAGAAGGCTTTGGATCTTGGAAAATCTGATTAATTGTGCTGCAACATAAGTTACTACAAGGTTCAAGAATGGAAATCATTTTGGTTATTTTATGCCTTAGGCCTAAACGGATGTTTGTAACATTAACATATATCGTAAATTAATTTCAAAAAGTGTAATCCCAGGTTACATATTGCCCACAAAAATATACTCTCTGCCTCTTAATAAAAAAAGCCCAAGCATTTTGTTGTACGAAGTTTTTTAAAAAGTAGTGTTTTTATTGTCGATAGAAATAATTATCTCGCATATGCAAATTAAATGAAAGATAATTTGTGGTTCGAATGAGTTAATACTCAACTCATTATGTAGTACAATTTGAAATAATATTAAATTTTAAAGTGAACAATATTTCTAGAATGGAGGGAGCGCATACTTATCATATAATACGGTTATAAGTAATGGTTTCCATGAATATTAAAACGTTTGTCCAATTTAAATTTTTTAATCCCGTTAGCAGATCAATTAAAAGTACTTATTAAGTCCATGAACTTACCCAAATACATTGGTACTCTGTACTTTCTTTTTTTTTTGGTTAAAATGTAAATTTCATTAATCACATCACAAAACTTCTTTACAATGGATAACTACATCTACTATCAATTATAGGCCTAATCTGCTCAAGAATTGCTGCTCACTGTTTTTCAACCTTTTCTTCTTTAAACAAAACTGTAGTCTAGTTCTAATTTCTTGCTGAATTCTGCTAAAGCAACATTCCACTTCACTTTCTATGTTTCTGAATTTTCTGTAATTCCTTTCCATCCAAATGTGGTAAACAGTGGCATTGAAAACAGCATAGAACACCCTCTGTTGCAGTTTTCTGTACCTCCACAGCTTCAGCACTTCCTGGACACTCAACTGGCTTGGAATGATATTGATGTCCAGCCAGATTTTCACAAATTCTAGCAGTCTCTTAGCAAACACACACTGAAAGAATAGATGCTGTGCAGATGCCACACAACACACAGCTTATGATCTCAGCAACTATGTTCAGTTTCTGCAACCTCTCCCTAGTGTTTAGTCTTTGTTTCCAAGCCAACCAGCTTATAAAACTATGTTTTGGTATTAAGTAATTACACCATACTACTTTTGCAGCATGATCCTTCCTGTGTTCTCCTCTCAACCATATGTAGCCACTGCTTGCTGTATACTTCTTACCACCATTCCCCAGCCATTGATCATTTCTAATTCCTGCTTTCATAACTTCTTTAATTTTCATTAGCTTTTTCCAATGCCAACTGCTGTCTTTTGGAGCTTTACAATCCCATACTGACTTGCCCTTTATATAATACATATGCATCCATTTAACCCAAAGGCTTTCCTTCCTGTTACTCAGATCCCACAACTGCTTAGTGATCATAGCTTTATTCCACAAACTAGGTTCCTTAATGTTCAGCCCCCCTTCTGATTTTTTCTGACATACCTCATTCCATGCTACAAGTGGTATTTTCCTGCCATCTTCCTTATTTCCCCAAAGAAACTGCCTACAAACTTTGGCTATTTCTTGGATCACATTCTGTGGTATGAGAAAGATACTAGCCCAATAGAGTTTAAATTTAACAATACAGAATTAATTAGCAGTGACCTACCTGCATAGGATAGATGTTTAGAAGTCCAACATTTGATCCTTGCAGTCACCTTTTCCACCATTTTTTGACATTCCAACTTACTCCAGGCAGTAGGAGAGATTGGCATCCCTAGATATTTCATGGGAAAACTGCCTTTCTCAAATCCCAGCACAGATTGGATTTGAGCAGCTATAGTATTAGAAACACCTGCCACATAAACATTAGACTTGGTAAAGTTGATTCTCAATCCAGTTGTAGCTTCAAATTCTTCCATTATCTTCTTCACTTTTGTCACTGTGTGAATATCAGCGCCACATAGGATTATAAGATCATCTGCAAAACTCGAAGAGGTTATTTTCAATTTGTCACAGTAAGGATGGAACTGAAAACCTCCTTTGTTTGCTTCTGATTTAAACATTCTGGTTAGGTATTCCATCACCAATACAAAGAGGAGGGGTGACATCGGGTCACCCTGTCTTAAACCTCTTTTTCCTTGAAAAAATCCAGTACTGCAACCATTTATGTTCTGTGAGAATGTGGCTGTTCTTATGCACTCCATGATCCAACCTATCATCTTTAGTGAAAACCCATACTCCTGTAGCATTTCCTCTATAAAGTTCCAATGAATAGAATCATAGGCGTTTCTTAAATCTACCTTCATTAGGCAACTTGGCTTGACATTTTTCCTGTTGTACAGTCTAACTAGCTCCTCTGTCAACAGGATATTTTGCAGAATAGATCTTCCTTTCACAAAGGCACCTTGGTTTATATCAGTCAATCCATCCAACACACTACTCAACCTCTTACATATCATTTTAGTTATGCATTTATACACTGTGTTGCAACAGGCAATAGGTCGATATTCTGTGGCATCCTTAGGGACTTCTACTTTAGGAATCAAAGCAATCAATGTTGCATTCAACTGTTTTAGCAGTTTACCTGTTTTGAAGAGTCCATGACCGCCTCACATACATCATCTTCCACAATGGTCCACATAGCTTTATAAAATCCACTATTGAAACCATCAGGGCCTGAACTCTTTGCAACATCTATGCTAAACATTGCTTCCTTAACAT